ACTATTTATCCACACTAGTGTAGCATTTTCTTTTCCATTTTGTGCTGCACATTTTTATCATCGATGCCTTTTTTCCCTTCTGTTTGACTGGAAAGCAGACAAACTCCTTGGGCCTTGGAAATTTCAGAGTTGCAAGAAGTGCGGTAGAAGTGCTTATCTAGGAACAGTTTCACCTCTGGAAATTACGCTGAATTACTAGCTAAGAGAGAGCTTTGTCAGAGATCCCTGGATCGTCAGCCTCATATTAGTTAGCGTAGCCTGGAGCTGATTTTGGGATGAGGTACGTCTGTGCTCCTGGCTTCTCTATCTGGACCTGCGGCAGAGTGGTTTAAAGCCAGATAGTGACAGATGATTTTTGGTTACTGACCCTCAACCTTGATGACCAAAACAGTCGGCTGTAGCTGCTTAGGTTTCATATTTATACGTTGAACCTGATGACTCTGCCTTTTTCTGTGAGTGCATTTTTTAACACAATGCAGTTTTTTTTATGTGGTTACGGTGCTGCTGCTTGATATTGCAGGTAAATATACAGATACACTGATGTATGATGCATTTAGGTACACCTCTTAGAGTTGGACAATATGGCTACACCCTGAGACAATGTAAGTTTGTCTGCAGGTGGAGATTTTTCTGTACTGTTTGTACTGTTGTTGCTATCACTTTAGTACCTATGTGTGACCATTATAGGCATTGCCAGTCAATGAGCAGGAATAACATTATAATTCAGTTATTAATATGGGGGAATAGCCAAAACAGGCACTTTATTCATAAAAACTTTCTCCACTGATTCACCAGAAAATTTGCTATATCACTATATATTACTAAGATAGCTGACGCCACAGCAGAAGCGCAAATACTGAGATTTAAACCTTGCACAGCTGCTGATCACACTCAATGCTACACACTCTTACTGCGTCAGATTGCTGATTTGATGTTGTACAGTTTGTTTCTTAGGTTTGATTTGTTCTGTTCAGCAGTTAAATCCTTGATTCTGTTTCCATGCTGCAGTGTTTCACTGTCTAAACCTGGCTCTTTTGTCACACTGCTGTTTCAGTAGAGGACTCGTAGCATGGCTGTCTTCCGATTTTTCTTTGTTTTTTCCTTCATTTGTTCTACTATAGGACCAGCCAGCCCCACATGCACCAGCCCTCCACTCCCCTCCTCCTTTCCGTCATAGCGTTAGGCACTAGCGCTGATTGAAAATAAGGCTCACTATGTGACTCTGTACTTGGGATGGATTTTTTTTTTCCTCCCTTCCTTCACTTTTTGTTGAGAACTTGTTTGGCCACATACCTAAAATAGCTCTCTGACGTGTACAGTCCTGTTAAGGAATGTTACTGTGGCTGTCCAGAGTTCTCTGCGGCAGGAAGTTATGCAAACGTGCATTGCTGAGCACAGAGCCTTGTGATTAGGGTCCTGAAGGACTCAGTTCTTCAGCTTTTTTTTTTTTTTCCAGCCCAGGCTCGCTGGATACTGTATGACCAACAAGGCCCCTTTTCTCTCCCAGCCTATGGTCTGTCTTGTGTAAATTTTCCTTCCTAAAAGTTGACTTTAATTTAGGTTTTTTTTGAGGAGATGATGGCTCTCAGCTCAGCCATGTGCGTTGATCACAACCTACCCTGTCATTAATTTCCCACATTCTGTCTACGTTGCTTTTGTTCTTCCCACCCCGCCATTCTTCACCTCCCATTTCTTCTTCTCCCCTCCCATCTGCTTTTTTCCCTGCTTCCACCCATCCCGCAGGGCTGGATGGGTGAGGGGGGTGGCCCTGACCTCCAGAAGCGGCAGAGTTACTTAAGAGGATTCCTCGCCTTGTCTGAGCTGCTGATTCACCATGTGTCATCATTGTTTTGCTCAGATGCAAAAAGGAATCCTCTGAATATTTAACAGAACATCATTCACAAGACAGGAATGACAAGATTCTTTAGATAACAGCGACTTCAGAGAATAATGTCGCTCGTGTCAACAAGTGAAACAATGTTCTTAATTAAATATTTCATGGGCAGATGAACGCTATTGTCTCTCTCTTACATTTATCTCTTACCTTTGAAGAACTGTAGGCTAAGTGACCCGTGGCAGAGAGTCAGGAGTTGCTCAGTTTCAACATCTGGTTCACACCCGCTAGAGGGAATGCATAACAGTATCTTGTGTTCAAATGCTTGTGTGCCTGACTTCTTTCAGCCATCCTGGATTATGGAAGATTAAATCCAGCTAGTAGCATTTATGCTCCTGCCTAGCCAGAGACAATCTAGCTTGTAATGTGTTTTTGTAGCTCTTGGAATTTCAAAGCTGTAGCTGTAACATCATAATTTGAAATAGGTATTTATGCATGCTCCTTTTTAATGTTATTCATCACCACCATCATTCTTAACTCGTTTTTACAGCTAATAGGGACAATGTTGTTCAAGTTGTCGTGAAAGGGTTTCTAATGAGAGTCAGTGGATGTTGCAGCACTATATTCAGGGTACACTTATTAAGCACGCTGTTGTTGTTGTTGTTGTTGTATTTCGTAGCTTCAGTTACTTGTATAATAATCTTTGTGACCAGGGTGGGGGATTTTGCTTTTGATCATCCATTTCAAGTTTACCTTTTTACAATAGCCATCTTTTATGTTAAAGGTGCATTTTTAACATTAATATAGCATCACTATAGCAGCAATAATTATTTGCTGTGTAAAGATATAGATGAGTAGTGGTGTCTTGAGCAGAGAATGAAGTCACTCACGAAGTTCCCACTTTGTATGTTATAATCTTAGCCTCTCTGTTCTTTGTTGTGGTTCCAGGTCCAGCTGCGGGTGCATGTTAGTCCATGTGTGAACCCCACTAGCGTGTTCCATAAAGTCTGAAACACTCTTACGAAAAAAGCTGTGCATCCAGCCCAGACGTTGCGCTAGACTTTTTCGTCGCCGGTCATTTTGACCGACAGGGTCATAAAAATCCGGTCATAATCTGTTTTTACCGGCCATTTTAATTTTCCTTTAAGATATTCAAAGATATTTAGTTTTCATTCATTCGTTTTTAATAAATCCAACAAGCAAGTTATAAAGTGTGCATTAATAAGGACATGAATGAAAAGATGAACAGACATCCACACACCGGACACGGAACCGAAGCGCAGCACCCAGCAGCGGAGGCAGTTTTTCAGTCGGCGCCCATGTTAACCTATCTGACTGTCCACACAGGCCGCTGAGCAGAGTGGAGCGCCCGCGGAGGCAGTGCTTCAGTTCGGCGTCTGGTCTATTTTTCATGTGAGCCGCAAGCGCTTCTGTCAAGCTGGATAGAGCAGATCGTACCAAACAGGAAGTCGGACACAGAAAAGACGAGAGAATCCGGCCAATTTTCAAAATAAAATAACAACAGCACGCACTGAGGAACGTGAGGAGAAAATATCGTGTTTCTAATTTAAAATAACACAACAGTGCATAACCGAACACATTTTTCAATACCCTAATCACTTCATTACAATTTTAATTTTGTGTCACCGAGCCTACAGACATAACTACATAAATAAAATGGTCAGAACAATATGCCCTATTCATTCAGTGTTTATCCAACACGCTCAATACATGCGCATGCAAAGACAAATTGTAATTAACTTATAACGTTATAAAAAATGATTAAAATATGGAGTTACCCATGTTTAAAATGACCTGTTGAAATGAAAAAACGAGTACTTACGGGAACAGACGAGTGGAGTCGATGTTTAACCGGTGCGGAGAGCGCAGGAAAAATGCGCTGCCTATGTGGACAGTCAAGCGTAACGCGTCCACTGTGTCCAGGGCTCAACAACGCTACATGAAGCAGATGAATGACTTTTTCTCTGCAGTGTGAAAACGGCAGCCACTGATTGTGCACTCCGCCGCCATGTGGGCAGGGGTGGTAATTGCAACCGGTCAAAATGACCGATGGCCTTCAGATTTTCTGGTCATTGTTGTAAAAAACCGGTCAATGACTGAAAATATCCAGTTAACGCGACCCCTGATCCAGCCACTAGCTAATCGCTGCCTTACTGCTAATAATGCTGTCCCGACCCATGGTGGTGGGAGAGCAAGTATATGTAATGGCACCGGTGCAAAAGGTTAACGGTGTTAGTTCTGTTAGCACTGTTCACTAGCTGCTCACTCACCTCCATGTTGAGAGCCGTGTGCAGACAATCCCGGCCCAGGCTCTTAATCATAGATGTGCTCTGAATTTCACATACAGCTCCTTTAATACACTGTAGAGAAGCTGTAGAACTGTGATTTTTTTTTTTACAGTGTCCATGTTTTCTCTCGTCAAGGTTTTCCAGCAGTACAGCTCATAAACGTGTTTCTGGTCTGCAGCTGACTCAAGCTCCCAGACATCATAACCTTGCTCAGAATGCATATGCTCTCTTGTGCAGATGTACATCTCCAGCTGTATGACTGTCAGTGTTATATCACTGACAACAGTAAAACCAGATATGTTTCCTTAGTTTTTTGGCAGTGGGCTTTGCTACAGTAAGTGATGCTGCAGCCTCTTATAGAAACACAAATGAGTGCTTGAGATATCAGTTCAGCCTATTCAAATATTTGTTTGAAATATTTGTTTAATTCCTCCCGTGCATTTTTTGATGCATGGCATGCATTTTAAAGATTTTCTGCTGGTATTACAACAGTGATTTGGTGGTCCATGGCAGGCGACATGCAAGACATGCCTTGAGGCGTCTTTTAATAAACAATTGCCCTTTGAGATCCTTCACTGGATCTGTCATTAATCACTTCATAAACTAGTTTACAGTCACACTAAAATCCGGATATTTGTAACAAGCTAAAACCCTTCTAGACATTATTAATGTAATCCAGTCTGGAAGCTAACCACTAGCTTTTTGCAGAACTCTGTGTAAAGCCGGTCTTCGGAGGCCAACTGCCTGACAGGACACTGTATTTGCTTTTAACGTGTTGTGTGTGATGTCGCTGCAGTGGTAGACACTGTAGCTTTGTTTGCCTGCATGCATGTTAACCCTTTCTCCTCTCCCTTCAGGATGGCTTGGACGCACTGGTGTATGACCTTGACTTCCCTGCCCTGAGGAAAAACAAGAGCATTGACAACTTTTTGAGTAGATGTAAGTGGCTCACATAATGCTTTTCCTTTAACCATGATCTCTCCATGTCTTCCACTTGAACCGTTTGTGTTTGCAGACCCTGTTACATGTAGGTTTAAGCCCGGGCTCAGAAAAGAAGGCTGTTTTTGGGTCACCGCCTCTATGTAGGCTTGGACACAATAGGTGTCTGCTGCTTAGTGTCCCCAACAAAGGGGCTTTCATAAATGGCTGGTGACCCACATGATGCCGATGGTGATGGCTTCTCTTTTTTCGCAGTGCCCTCAGACTGGGGAACCCCATAACCAAAACAGATAGTGAAGCTAAACCTGGATAGATCTAGTATGACTGTGTAGTTCTTTGCATTTACATTTTTAGGGAATGGCTGCCATCATATTAAAGTGTTTATCTCAGCCAGCAATGTCTGCGGTGGGGGCAGAGCATCAGTTTTATATTTTGGAGATGTGTCTTTAATTTCCTGAGCTACATATATACAAACATATATAATTTACCAGAACACCCACAACCAAACTAAACAACAAATGCGTACTCCCACTGCCTCTGATATAAGTGAGCACAGCCTTCTTCCTTTGTGGCATGTTTTGTAGCCTTCATTTTTAATTTTCCTCTCTTTGTCAAGAATACCTCTCCATCAAATAAATGTTGCACTGAAATCTGTTGAGATTAATGTGCAGCATTGATGAGGTAGTGACAGTTTTCATGGGGAAATGATTGCAGCTGTGTTTACACTTTGACAAAACTGTGCACTTCCATAGCAGGATGTGCACAGATTTTGCATATGGGCCTTCTGTCACTGCGTTTCCAATAATCAGGTATAAAATCTATTAAACTGTAATGACTTTAGTCAAGATGGTCATGAAGTTGTTGGGACAGCCTGCTTCCATGAGACGTGGCTGAGAGGAAATGCAATAGAGTCGGGGCTTTTTATCAGTTTGAGGAAAACAAAAATTCTGTTTCATATCTGATCATCAACCCAGCCCACTGTAGACCCCTGGGCTAAAACTGCCATTACACATCTCCTCAGTTACTCTTGATACAGTACTTTTGTGTGTAGCAGCCAAGTGTTGGAAATGCATTGATGGATGTAGACTAATGGACTAGCTGTCTTGTGAGACAGCTATTCCTCAGTACCATGCAACGCCTGAAGGGCTCTTTACTCTGAATTCTCTCCACCATGCATTGTGCTGTGCACCCCGATCACATCAGCTGATTGCTCTACTGTATGTGTGCTGCCTGGGACCTACTGGAAATAATCCTCCACCCCTACGCACAGTATATCTCTGTAACAGCAACATAAAATCCTATGTGTACCATTTCTAAACATGATTTATGTCTTTTTCGTCCTCTGGGATTTTTCATGATCACAGTGGAAATGACTCACTCTTAAATGTTCTTATTCTAATAACTCTGGCCTTGCTTTTTATTTTTAGATCTATTGAACTTGCATGCCCCCACATCCCCCTTTTCCATGACTTCCAGTGCCAGTTGTGACCCATGTGAATTGAAAATTATCCCCCCTAGTTTCAGCTATGACCAAATTTGGCTGAACAGTGAATATTATCTCCCAGAGGGGAGCGAGCATTGTTACATCAGGGAGAAGCCGACTCTCAGTAAGCAACAAACTTTCCCCGAACTGCCGCTCTCAGCTGTGCAGAGGTGCTGTGAGCTTTTTCTGATCTGTTTGCCAACAGGCTGGATGTTCCTACAAATGTCAACCTCTGCTAAATGCAGACATTACATGACACCTAAATGATGTTGGGTAATAAAATCAGAGAAGCACTGAGCTGATCTTCATACAAAATGCAACCACTGGAAACTGGTCTCTCAGGCACCTTATACTGTATCAACTTGAAGGATAGGCCTTCTCTTAAAGGTCAATGCAACAACTTTGGCTTCTATACTTTCTATTTTCTGTTAACATTTGTCTCTACTTGTTTTTTTTTTCCCCAGATAAGGAAACCATTAGTAAAATTCGTGATCTACGCATGAAAGCAGATGACTATGAAGTGGTTAAAGTTATTGGGAGGGGAGCATTTGGAGAAGTACAATTGGTAAGAACGCCACTTTGTTTGTGTGTGTGTGTGTGTGTGTGTGTGTGTGTATGTGTATTTTTTTGATAACGCGGTCTAGAAAGTTAAATAACAATATATTATTCAAGACAGTGTTTTTCTGAATGAGCCTAACTAGATTGTCACCTGCTCATCTTTTCCAGGTCAGACACAAAGCCACATCCAAGGTATACGCCATGAAGCTGCTGAGCAAATTTGAGATGATCAAGAGGTCGGACTCTGCTTTCTTTTGGGAGGAGAGGGACATTATGGCTTTTGCCAACAGCTCATGGGTGGTGCAGGTATGATGATCTAACAGTTGTGTAACCTAGCGTGTAGGCCACACATACATAAACCCAGTCGTATGTGTGAGTCTGAAATGAATTAGTAAGACATTAGTTCATTTTTAAATGTATTGCTTTAATTAATTATTTCTTCTCTTTTCTATTCTGCAGCTCTTTTTTGCTTTCCAAGATGACCGCTACCTCTACATGGTGATGGAATACATGCCGGGTGGCGACTTGGTTAACTTGATGAGCAACTATGACGTCCCAGAGAAGTGGGCCCGCTTTTACACAGCTGAAGTTGTTCTTGCTTTGGACGGAATCCACTCCATGGGCTTCATCCACAGGTAAAAGCAAAACTTCTCCCTGTTCCCAGTCGTCTTTGTGTTTGTTGGTTTGGCTCTCAACTTGGCTGAAGTCAAACACTTGATGTGAGTCATTTCTGACGGAAAACGCTGCAGTATTTCAGACGTCAGTGAGGTCCGTAAGGTTTCATAAGCTGTTGGGAATTGCTTATGTAACCTCGTCCAAAGTGAACATGTAAAAATTTCTCTTTTATGGTTCTTGACCACTGTGGGATATGCAGAAGGATCTAGAAGGTGTGGTGGCAACCTGTGATCTAAGGGGGCTGTGCTAGTGTTCCAGCTATAGATGCCATGCTGCATTACTGCTTGTTTTCAAAACTGAGACTCAGACATAATGCTTTCCCAGCATTACAGTGTCATATATAATGTGTTTTTTCTCCTAGTTAAATACCTGTTGTCTCTACCGGTGTCTTAAACCTGTAAAAACCTAACAGTGATTCAGAACTGCTGTCACTGTTGTCTTGTTTGTGTTAGCATTGATTTATATGAGATTTAAATTGTCTATTGCCTTTTTTCAGCTCCATGATGCTGCCTGTAAATCTGTAATATATTCTCAAGTAGTGGGGGATCAATCTCTCTGCACTGGACAGAGCCACATCTTTATGATATACTTTCTATACACTCCAGCTATACATTTTTTCTTTTATTAAATGGCTACTGATGTATTCTATACACTAAGCACTGTGCGCAGCTGCAATGATGGAAAATTCACACCATGACATTTGTATTAAAAAGCTCTCTCGCTGTTTCCCATTAGCTTGCTGGAAGTAGTAGCGAAAGGAAATTTTTAGAAAACATAAATTCTGCTCTCTCAGTTCCCCAGCCTCCTTCATACCTCATTACATCTCACCTAGCACTGCAGAACACTGCGGCACCCTCACACGCTTCTAATTTGGAGGGCTATTTTTCCAAGTGGCACCCTCAAGCAGCTCTAACCTTAACTGTACACACGCACACACACACACACAGGCAAAGTCTAATCTAGTTTTCTTGTTATATGCTCGATGTATTGTTTGTGCTTTGTGTACGTGTTTGATATCACTGTATTTTTGCCTCGTCAGGGACGTGAAGCCTGATAACATGTTGCTAGACAAAGCAGGCCACTTGAAACTGGCAGACTTTGGGACCTGCATGAAAATGAACAAGGTATCACGTTTATTTTCTGTCACAATATTAAATGTTATCACACCACATACATTATTAATATTTTAAGTGTGAGATTTTTAGTGATTTTAATGATTATTTAGGCATATGAAAAACATTGTAAGACAATTTGACAGATTCATTACTATGAAAAAGTATTGAAATTGTAATGATTTTTAAATATTATTTTCCCTCCTCAGGATGGTATGGTACGATGCGACACTGCAGTGGGAACTCCAGACTACATTTCGCCTGAGGTACTAAAATCCCAAGGAGGAGATGGCTATTATGGCAGGGAGTGTGACTGGTGGTCAGTGGGAGTGTTCCTGTACGAAATGCTAGTTGGTGAGTTTTTGATCGAGTATTTCCTGTACGGGACGTCATTAAATGTTGTTATACCTGTCTCATGAAGTTAATGTCCTACAGTCACAAAAACCCAGGATTATTTCTGCCTTTCTCTACATTATAAAACAACAAAATGAGACTTCATTAAATTTTACTGCATATTTTTTTCCATGTTCAGTGTGTATGGCCCTGTTTACACCTGGTATTATCATGTATCTTGGGTGATTCAGTTGTAAGAATGGGCCTTACCTGGCATTAGAAAGTGTCCCCACATGCGTCTCGGGTGACCACTTGTGAGCATATATCACTTCCCCTCTCCATATGCATATAAACACCTGCATCATTTACGTTTGCTAAGAGCAAATGCATTGTTTATTTTAACCGGTGGGAGGCAGCAATGCGTGTTTGTAAAGACCTTGGCGCACGGTTAAAATCAAAACAGTAAAGATAAGGCATCTTCCTTGGCGTGTTCCAGGCTAACCAAAACTACTTCTTGTCTTGTTGTTTTGCACATTAAAACACAACAGCTGGGTAGGCGCTCCTTCATTGTGGCGCAGGACACGTGAGCGTACACACTGCTGAAAGAATGTGGCCAGATGCAGCCCAGACCACCTCCAGATGTGGTCTGAGCGATCGGATCTCAAGATGCATTGAGGTCGCATTCACACCCATACTTAGAGTTCACCACTTGTGATCCAAACACCCAGGACGCATGTTAATAGCAGGCGTAAACATTGCCTATGTGTGACGCAGTTCTTACTGTTGACATATCAGTAACCCATGGCTCTTGTTTGTCTTCTGTTGTGTACAGGCGACACTCCTTTCTATGCAGACTCCCTGGTGGGGACCTACAGCAAAATTATGAACCACAAAAATGCCCTGACCTTCCCTGACGACAGCGATATCTCCAATGACGCCAAGAATCTCATCTGTGCTTTCCTGACTGACAGGTTAGATAGTGGCACGCTAAGCACTGCATTTTGAAGTGGGTCCTTATCATGACACCCCTGCCTTGTTTAGGCATTGATTGTTTCCCAGCTTAGAGGGCCCTCAGTGGAAAGAATCTTGATTGACATGTAATAACAAAGAAGATGTGTGTCTTTGCATGGAGATATTGAAGGACTGCTTCTACTGGTGTTATGAAAACACACACTATTGAAATGATCAAGAATGAAACTAAGCATGTCCTCCCTGACCCCCGCAGAGAAGTTCGACTTGGCCGTAATGGTGTCGATGAGATCAAGAGGCATCCTTTCTTCAAGAATGACCAGTGGACATGGGAGAACATCAGAGAGAGTAAGAACACCTCCCCTGTTACTCATTATACTTTCACACCTCCCATTGCATTTGGCAGTCTGCTCACTATTACTGCAGTGATGTAGCCAACGATCATGTTTTCCATCTGACCTACTACAGACAGTTGCAGGAAATTCTTGTAGACGAGCCATTCATTCAGTATCCTTTCCAAGACTAAACGTGATTCCTGTTCAGAGGAATAATTGGCAGCACATCGTTTTTGAGGCCAGCAATGGGGAAGCAGTCCATGGCAAATGTTAATGCGCCGGGATTGACACTGGAGCAGAGAGAGATTAGAAATGTAGGGCTAAATCCAGGAGCTATAGTCAGTTCTTTAGTGGCTTTATATTTAATACTTTACTAGGCTGAAGTCAGCACTTTGGTGTTGGCCACCCCTGTCGTTCCACTGCCTGACAGCTCTGCTAGCTGGCTGCGTTCCCTTGTTTTAAAGAGGGTTTCAATAAAGACCTATGATCCAGAAAAACTCTGCAGAGGAAAGTGAAACACTTGTTTCTGTGTCTTTTATCTATCTGGAAGGTCATCTACTTTAAAATACAAATAAGACAGACACATAAAGAGAAGATTAAGTGAAAATAATAGAGGCAGAAGAGAAAAACGTAGTGATATGAGCATACAGATTAAAGATATACTTGCATTAATTATTAATAATTAAATTAATATAATATAATTCTAGGCTTACTTTACTGCTGTGTTTACTGGTATTTACCAAACTTAAACTCACATCACAGAGCATTATGAGCTTATGCCTCATTTCCACTGCATGGTTCAGCTCAACTTTTGGTACCGGGCCCTTTTCTCCGTTTCTTTTCCCCCTCATTGTAGATGTAATTCTCAGCTGATTGCCATCGCGACACATTATGAAACTGCACGGACATCATTTTCATTGTGACACTCGCTGAATCCTTTCATTGGCAGCCAAACAGAGGAACATCTACACTTCATCAGTTGTGTGGCGTAGCTTTACGGGCTGCCATTTTTTAAACCTGGGTCAAATGAATAAAAAAAAAATTGTGGCCATGATTGATGGCAACCTCGCTATTTGGCAGGATGTCTCTGTTGTGCAAGTGATGATTCCCTCTGACCAGTCAGTGGTCTGAAGTGTTGTAACTCCACCTGTTAGTATCGGCTCAGGTCGCTTGGAACCACAGCCAAGGTGGTACTAAAAAAAGTACCAGGTGCTACCCACAATGTTGGCTGATAGAGCCGTGCCGTGCAGTGAATGCAACATTATATTGATGTTTTCTCCAGTGTTTGTCCCTGTATTCAATTTCAATTCAATTCACCAATTATTTTGGGAGTGTCTTCTTAAATGGACTGTGCCTTTAACAAACACGGGCTAATTGTCCATAATGACCTGTGATGGCCTTGTTTATCTTGTATCATCGTTAATCTTCCATCTTTTCATGCCCTGTGCAGCGGCTGCCCCTGTAGTGCCTGAACTGAGCAGTGACGTCGACACCAGTAACTTTGATGACATCGAGGAGGATCGGGGAGAGGAGGAGACCTTCCCCATACCAAAGGCCTTCGTGGGCAACCAGCTTCCCTTCGTAGGGTTCACTTACTACAGCAGTCAGCAGTAAGTCTGCCGGACCATGCTCATAATCAATGTGCAGAATGATTACTTTGACACCAAACTGTCTACATAATTTCTTGTAAATAAAAATGCTGGGTTTTACAGTGATGTATGTATGACATGGTGCACTATTCAGTCAATATTTCATGTCTTAAAATGACTCGTGACTTTAATAGCAATCCGTAGAGTGCACTGTTTTCATGGTAGAAATCAATTTGTCATAGTAGACATAGTTTGAATAACTTATTTCTGAGTAGATGTGTATTAGCTCCTGTTTGCCTGTAAATGCTCCTGTAATTTATAACATTGTTATATACAGGTAGTTCTTCTACTGGGGAATTGTGGTAGTTGTAGTTTTCACTTTCGTTATCATGTATCAATAATAAAACAATTTTTATTTCCAGCCTTTTGCGCAGCTCCAGTGCCAGCACAAAGGCCAGTGACAAACGTAGCAGCTCCACAAAGGAAGACAAGAGTCACGTGAGTAGATAACTTTTTTTTTTGTAGTTTGAGATGGAGAAACAGCCATACTTCCATGTCCTCTCATGACCTCAAACTCTCTAAATGCAGGTGTCTTCACTATTAGTCTGTATCTATGAGGATCAAGAATTATTCATTGTGTGTTTTAGTTGGAGAACCTGCAGAAAAGGATCTACCAGCTGGAGGAGCAGCTCCACAGTGAGATGCAGCTGAAGGATGAGTTGGAGCAGAAATGCAGGTATGGAGCCGAACTTTCATTTATACATGAAAAGGTAGCTGCATCCATAGTCAAAGCACAGATTTAGTGAGATATTTACTTCTAAAGAGTGATTTATACTTGAGCAGCAGACCTTACGCTGTAGCCTACACGCGTCGCCTACGCCGTTGTGAGCATTTATACTTGTGCGGTGGTGTGTCTGTGTCACCCTGCAGTTACACCTCCAAAACACTAGTCGGCGGGAGAGGTTTCTGTGCTGTAAAGTTTAGTTGATTTAAAACACACATTAAACATGGCTTAATAGCAACAATTTCAAACACAAGTAGACAAATCAGCTTCACTATAACTCGCAGCATTCACAGACAAACACTTGTCTTTATCTGGACACATTTTCCCCACAAATACAACATGCTAATGTTTTTAGCACAAGCCTATGGCATTTTACATTGTATAAATTAGCCTAGCAGCTAGTGGACGTCTCTCTACTCATATGAAACCAGGGACAACAGCAAAATTTACCAAAGGTAATGTTACAAAATCAGCTCTATTACAGCTCAGAAGGTTCACTAAACACGTTTTCCAAACAAATATAAGATTAGCACAAGCCTATGGCGTTTTACATTGTATAAATTAGCCTAGCGATGAGCAGAGATTTCCTCTGCTCATATGAAGCCAGGATAAATCCCAAAGTATAAATCCCTGAAGGTTGCTGCAGCGTGTAGTTACATTGCTGGGGAGGTGCATGTCAGGCTATGGTGTAGGATATGTTGAGGCTCTACGTTGACGCAGAGAAAAAAAATAGGCATTTTATTGTTTCTAGGCAAAAAGGGCCATAGAGAAGTTAATATGAGACGGTGCCATTGTGTTATTCCCTGGTTGCATCATGTGTATTCCTGATTGTTTAAAAAGAGTAAACCACACTTCTGGTTAAGTAAAGTGTTCTGAAGTTAAGTGTCCTTCTCAAATTCTGTTCTCCACAGGACATCAAACACCAAGATTGACAAGATCATGAAAGAACTGGATGAAGAGGTTAAATGCTGATTTTTTTTTTTTTTTTTTCCATCTTAAACATTCTTTTTATGGACAAATTATAAAATAGTGATGCTGCTTTAATTGCATCTATAAAATGAAACTGCATCTACAGCTTTTGTTTTTGTAATGTGTTCAAAAAGTGTGATGGTAGAATCAAATGATGACGCTAAATTACAGTATAAAATCAGGGGCTAGATTAAGGTTTGGATTCTTCCTGCCACATCACAGCTGCTCTGTTGTTCCTTGCCACAGGCAAACCTGAGGAAGAGTGCGGAGGCCAGCATGTCTCTGCTGGAGAAGGACAAGATCATGCTGCAGCACAGATTCACTGAGTACCAAAGAAAAGCTGACCAGGAGGCGGAGAAGAGACGCAATTTGGAGAATGAGGGTAAAGATAATGAGGTGCTGCTGACGTATGATTCAGACACTGTGCAATTAAAGTATAATTGCAAAGTGAAGCGCGGAAGCAGTCCGTATTTGAACATAGTTTTGTTGCATGTTAATGCCCTATGCTCTCATTATCATTTGATCTGGTCAGGACATAGGCCCCAGAAGGATTAGCTGGCATCCTGGTGTGACCTTCATCCTGCTCACTGCTACTACAGATCTAGTTAACTGTTAAACCAGGCACATCTCTGTCTGACTTTCCTATTGATTTTCAAGCAATAAGCTGTTACAGAAATTGGGGACGTGACGTTGTTTGGGGTTGATTTGGGAGCGTAAATGAAGCCCTGCCTAATTTATTTCCCATCTGTTTTGTTCCTAGTGTCGACTTTAAAAGAGCAGCTTGAAGATATGAGGAAGATCAGCCAGAACTCTCAGGCCTCAAATGACAAGATCGCCCAGCTGCAGAATCAAGTAAACAATAGACTCATACACACGCAGACACACTCAGTCTGGACCAGTGGAGGACAATGCATCACACTCAATTTTCCCTTCTGGTCCTCTCTATTTCGATTGACAGATGGAAGAGGCCAACGACCTCCTGCGCGCAGAGTCGGACACAGCGGCGAGACTGAGGAAGAGCCACACGGAGATGGCCAAATCAATGAGCCAGTTGGAGAGCTTGAATCGCGAGCTGCAGGAGAGGTGCCGCGCAGCGGACGGGGAGAAGGCCCTGCTGGAGAAGGAACTCCTGCTACTTCAGAGTAGCCTGGAATCAGAGAGAAGGAACTACAGCCTGGGCTCTGAGGAGATCAGGGAGCTGCAAGGTGATCCACTGACACACAAATGAGGACACTGATAAATGCAAATCCAACACCAGGGTGTCCGCAGGTCTTTAAAAAGTTTTCAAGTGTCTTAAGGCCCAGAAACACCAAACCAACATCAAAGAAAAAGAAGTGACGAAGGCTGTTGCGTCACCACGTCTCCTGTGTCTCGGCCAAAAAATTGCCTTGAACACACTTCAGAGACTACAGCCAATAGTCAGCTAGCACGTACATTCTCCGCCTGCATGAGAGGAAATAAGTCTTCATACCAGCAGGCGGCTGTAGTCTGTACCGGTCATTTAAAAGGGGAAACCGGAAGAGCGACAGGAAGGATTCAAGACGCTATTTAGCCAGCTAGCACACATCACAACCTGATGTTTCAAAGAGCAAAGGATGTGTACTGTTCTCTAGAAAACTATAACACAAACATTTATGAACCGTTTCGCTCAATGGCTAAAAAAAAAACGGTCGACTAGTGTCAACGGTGCAGGACACACAACACAAACTAGGGCGACAGACGCTCACTGACAGTGAGTCTTAAAGTTGCTCAGAAATTATATTTAATTTATGTATAATCTAAGGTCTTTAAAAGCATTCATTTTAAGTATCTAAAGCATATATCGTAGTGATCTTTGAATAAGAGAAAGCAGGACACTTAAATATTTATTAAACCATCTCAGTGTGTTTCATAATACATCTTTAAAAATCTAATTAAGACATTTGAGACAGCTGCAGAAATCCCACACTGTGAAAGCTATCCCTCACTCTCACACTGAGGTAGGACATGCTCAAGCACTGACGACGCCCACAGCAGTCAGATCAGTCTCTGATTTATCTGTCAGCTGGTTATCTTTTAATGGAAACAAGCCTCTGAAAGTCACAGCATTAGAGGGGAAGGAGGAAAATTTAAGTCATTATGTGAAGGTCAAAACAGTTTGTCAAACAAGCATTAGGTGTTTTTGTGGTGAAACTTATAGATAAGTTATTATGACATGGTGCCAGTGTGTTCTTTGCCCCCTGGTTGCATATGTGTTCTTGATTGTCCATAAAGATAGAACCAGAGTTTTGCACACAGCAGTGTTCATGATAATTGTATTGGAAACAGACAGACAAAGCAATGGAAACGCCAGCTTCATAATATAAGCACCATAAAAATAACTGTTTGTCTTTATTGTCCGTTCTCAGCGAGGATGGCAGGGATGCAAGAGGACAACAAAAACCTGAAGCACAGCCTCTCCAAAGTGGAAGCGGAGCGCAAACATGCCCAAGAGAAGAGCAATAACCTGGAGAAGGTATACACACAAAGTACAAGTAGTATTTATGTACGAAAATGCTTCCACTCTCAGCTTGCCTTCATGTTGTTTTCCTGGTCGTTCCCCCTCCTCACAGGAAAAGAACAACCTGGAGATCGACCTGAACTACAAACTGAAGACCTTGCAGCAGCGTCTGGAGCAGGAGCAGACTGAGCACAGGGTGACGCGGGCACAGCTCACTGACAAATACGAGTCAATTGAAGAAGCCAAATCAGCTGCCACGAATGGTATGTCAGTCCTGTGTCGGAGCATGCCCTGCCCCGCTTTATTTTTCCTTTTTCCATTTTCTGTTTGGTTCCTTTTTTTCTTGAATCCTTCTTGAACTTCCCTGTCTCTTAATTTTTATTGCCTCTCCACCTGTATTTTAATCTTTCCGACCTCATCTTCCTCTTCCTGTTTCATCTTTGTCTACCATCTGATCAGACTCACCTGCAGGGGATGTTTGGGTGGGAGGAATTCAGGGTGTGTAAGCCAGTCAGCAAGTCAGGGCAACGCCTCGTTGCATATTAAAGCCAGGCTCTAAAGCAGTATTTTTGCAATAGGATGATGACTTGTTCAGGTGATTTCTCGCCTTTCAACTTGTTCATGCTGAAATAGGCTAATTTTAATTCCATGACTTAAGTTCATTTTCTAATAATAGTTAAGGCTCATTATTGTGCCTATTAATGGACGTAGGTTAAAGGCCTGTTTTTCATCTGGATGTTACACCACCATGCATTCACACGTTGTGTTTCTAGCTCCAAAAACACACTATTTGCAGTAGTTTACAGAAAAACTACTGGAACAAATACAGCTGCTGAAATAAAAAAATATGACAAAAATAGTGACAAAATGTGCATCAGCTTCTGATAATCTAATTTTGTATTTCACATTTGTTCTCCTGATACTCAGACATTTTTCAGATTATATTTTTACTGTGAAATCTGGGTTACCACTCTGATATTATGTCTATTAGCAGTAGAAGATGGAATTGACTGTTACTGTTCTGTCACTGTCCCACTCCAGCTGTCCAGCAGAAGATGTCTGAGGAGACCGGAGCGAGGATGCGAGCGGAGAGCCGGGTAGTGGAGGTTGAGAAGCAGTGCTCGATGTTAGAGTTTGACCTCAAGCAGTCTGTGCAGAAGATGGAGCAGCTGATGAAGCAAAAAGAAAGGCTGGAAGATGAGGTAAGTAACCCCTCTCAATTTTGCAGTGACTTTAATGAATATATATATTTTTTAGCACTTGTGTGCCTTGTATTGGTGATATCTTACCTCTCTTGTGTTGTCCTTTCCCCAGGTGAAGAATCTAAGGATACAGGGAGAACAGGAGTCGAGCAAACGTGTTCAGACTCAGAGCGACCTGAAGAGCCGCACGCAGGAGGTTGACCGTCTCAGGTGTTCAGAGAAGCAGCTCAAACAGGAGATCAACACAGCACTAGAGAGTAAACGCTCGCTGGAGTTCCAGCTGGCACAGCTGACCAAGTGAGTGGCCGTCCTGTACTACAATTATAAATCCATCCCAATTGTAAAACTGATCACTTGTTTTTTGTCATGAAATGTTGCAGATGTTGTCCATCCACTTACCATATTACATTGTGTCTATGTAATGTGCATAAAATCAATAGAAATTATAATAAATAGAATAAACTCTTGGGGGGCGATTGCCTATTGGCTTTCCTGCTCCAAGCTATCGTTATTCTATTGGCCTCCACTATCAGTCGACCACTAGATGAAACACTTGTATTATGTGTGGTAGGAAGTTAGGAAAATTTGCTGTTACTCCGCCATTGTGCCAGTTAATATTACTCTGAAATCAACTGGCAGCAGCACCAGCCAGAAACACTAATTTTCTGTTATTGCTGCACCGGCCGGTAATGCTCTTTGGAAGTCAAGGCGCAAATTGCCCTACAATTGCCTGCTATTTCCAATAAGTGCTATTATTCCAGCTTAGAGGCTGACTATGCCAAAGCTGTTCTGCAACAGTGTTTATATCAAAGGATTAGAGTTTAGAGTCCAGCTCCATCCACTCCATTGCTAATCCTCTGGCTAGTGCTGCAGCCAGTGCCACTGGTTGTGCTGCTAGTTACATTTTACTACAGGGGGCGGGCTGAGAGGCTGGCTCTGCTTGCCTGGCTGAAGAGTGTTGTTTGGAAAGTGTGGGGAAATTACCTAGATGCCTAGAATGAATGAAAATAAAGTACTTAATGTATTTGGTTGATGTGTCAACAGACAATACAGAGGCAACGAGGGACAGATGAGGGAACTTCAGGACCAGCTTGAGGCCGAACAGTATTTTTCTGTAAGTATAAATCTCAGTTACTCGATGTCTCTGTCCTCTTTATTAATGTGAACGCCATTGGCTGAACTATCTGTCCGTCCTCCCTCAGACGCTTTACAAAACTCAGGTCAAGGAGCTAAAAGAGGAGCTTGAAGAAAGGAACCGGCAGGTACAAGAGGCTCATAAAAAGGTGCAGGAGTTAGGCAGTGAAAGGTAAGAGACTCCAGGCCATCGCTTTATTGATATAACCACCCAAATATAAGCTGATGGTTTTGTGTCCTATTATTTTGAGTTTTATTGTGTCTTGTGAGAGCAAACAGCAAACTTATCAAGTTTCTTTTATCCTGGACAAAGGGACTCCCTGTCTGCCCAGCTGGATCTGACAGTGACCAAGGCCGAGTCAGAGCAGCTTGCCCGGGCGCTGCAGGAGGAACAGTACTTTGAGCTCAGCCAGGAGAACAAGAAGGCAGCAAGTAGACATAAACAGGAGATTGGGGAGAAGGACTCTACTATTGCACGGGTAAGCAAATTCAACACCATTATTTTATTTCCCCCCACCTTGTATGTTTAGTGAGATGCAACTTTACTGTCTCAATTTTGAGTGGGGAAAAAATGACAATATTGAACATTTTCTGCAGCTGGAGGAATCCAATAAAACTCTGACCAAAGATGTGGAGAACCTCAGCAAAGAGAAGGCTGAGTTAAATGAGAAACTCAGTACTCTGGATGAAGGTACTGCCCCTTTGTTGACCTTCATGTTTCTTTGCTGCATTATAATTATGTTGTTGCACAGGCTGACTCTCCTTCTCTCGACAGAGTATGCAGCTCAGAAGGAAGAGATTGTAAATACAATCAAGGCCAACTATGAGAAGGTCCTCAACACAGAGCGCACACTGAAGACTCAGGTAAAGACGCACAGTTTGAGTCAGAAGGTAACTGCAAACACGAGTAATGCAAGTGGAGAATGGTGGCTGATGCTTTCCAACTGTTTTCCTACATTAACTTATCAGGCGGTGAACAAGCTGGCTGAAATCATGAACCGCAAGGACATGAAGCTGGACCAGAAGAAGAAGGGCAGCACTGCCGACCTGCGGAAGAAGGAGAAGGAGAACCGCAAGCTTCAGCTGGACCTTAACCAGGAGAAGGAGAAGTTTAACCACATGGCCATCAAGTATCAGAAGGAGTTGAGCGAGATGCAGGCGGTACGTTGAAGAGTAGTCAGAACACCACAGGCCTGTAAAATCAAAAAATTCTCATGTGTTTTAACCCCAAATTGTGGCTTTTCTACAAACAGCAACTGGCAGAGGAATGCACGTATCGCAACGAGCTTCAAATGCAGCTGGACAGCAAGGAGAGCGACATCGAGCAGCTTCGGGAGAAACTGAACGATCTCCAGCAGCGCATGGATAACTCTAGTGTCACCAGCTTGCAGACAGATGAGACTGACAGTAACATCGCAGGTAGGGTCACCGCAGGGCCAAATGAGACACTGCTGTTTGTACTTTTACTATCCATAATTAACTCAAGTCTTAAATGCAGGATTCCTCTCAGACCGCTATGTGAGAAGAGTTTGGAAAATTTAAGGGCATTTAAATAGTCTTGGAGTTGCATAGAAACACCAAGTGTTTTGTTCAACACAATGAAAGATGTGTTTAACAGGGCTGCCCCCTAAAAGTCGACCAAACGTTAGTCGACCAGAAAGGTCATTAGTCGGCAAGATTTTATTGGTCGCTTAGTCGCAGAGAAAAAACAAACAAATGTGAAACTCTAATAGGAGCTGTGCCTTGTCAAATCAAAACCTATATGACTGGACCATGTGGGAATTTAATTTGAAAGGACAGACACAGGAAGTGTCCACGCTTAGCTGTCAGACAGGATTCATGTCACAAACCAATCACAGCCGACAGATATTTTTCCCTTCTTCTGTAAATATTGAGTCTGATAAATACAGAAAAGTTGATCACGTTAGTGCAGGGCTACCCAGAGCTTTACATCTGTCCCACAGACGTTAGGCCTACACATTTATAAACAGCTCCTGGAAGAAGATCAGCTCTGTGCTAAGGATTTTAGGTAAAAAGGCTCTACGATGCTTGTTAAGGCTGCTTAGACTGTCACAAAAAAGGCACCTAGCACCCGACCTTGCGTTTTCCAGACCGTTAAAGATGTAGCATGTATACGACCCCTTATTTCCGGGGCTGGTACCTGCGGTTATTCCACAGGCTAGTTAATAACATGTCGGGCAGGAAATCCAAAGTGTGGGATCATTTTGAGAAGGTGAAGGATGAACCCAAGGTGATATGTAAACTTATCTTCATTGGTCGACTACAAACATGACATATCATCTGAAACATGGAAGTAGCTACATGCACATTAGCCCACAGCATCATTAACAGGCGGCTCGCTCAGTGTGTGACGTGCACTTGTAGATAAAATATAGGCCTATATTAATGAAGGTTCATTAGTACGGTTGGTATTTCTCTGTCATGTAGCACAGTGTTAACAATGTTACTGATACTATTCTTTGTCACACCTTCAACTCAAACCACCAAAATATATCATTTAATCATTACATTAATATTGTTAACATGTGGGCGACGAGTTGAGTAATGGCGACTACTGGTCAACTAGGAAAATTCTTAGTCGGGGGCAGCCCTAGGGTTTAATATGTTTTACCTTGTGGAGGCAAAAACCCACCAACTTGTGAGCCATTCATGTTGCAGTCATGAGAAAGAAAGCAACAGAGGCCCTCTTGTTTTTGAGCACCAAGTTATGATAAACATGTTTAAGAAGGAAAGATGTTAATACCACACTTTACCCCTCTCCTCCTTGTGTTTCCGTGTAGTAACATGTTTTTCAAATATGTGTAAACTTGCCAGGTTTTGGTTACAATAGCTGGTACAAACAAAGTTCCTAAAAATGCCCTCATAGGAAACTGACAAAAAATGTAAAGGACCAGTGTTTAACGTCCGCTTAACACAAGTATGAGTTTAAATGGTTATGTTTGTATTAAGTGAGCTCAAGTTCAGACATGTGTACATTGTCTCATTAACAAAAGGTTGTACTTTATTCAAGGGCTGGGCAATAGAGGTAAAATCAAATGCCACAATATTTTTGACCCAATACCTCGACATGGATGTTGCAACGATATTGTAAGGCTGACTTAGTGCTTTCACATAATATTTACACAGCAAGATTTATATTAAATAATCATCAGTAATGTGGATATGATGACTTAATGAGTAAAGGCAAATAATAGAACAGCTACAAAGGCCTGGTCAGCTAAAAAAATGACATCACTTTATTGCAAAGCAGCTTTTTAAACCAGGAACAGACAACATTTACAATATTATGGTATCCAAAATCTAAGACGATATTTATTATCTTGTAATGATCTCGATATAATGTCAATATTTTGCCCAGCTTTGTTACCTTTGACATCTAAACATTCTTTCAGGTAACATCAGTCTGTTTCTCAGTTTTTTCATTCTGTTCGTGAGCAGTGTTTAATCTGTGCTCTCAGGAATGATTCACTGTAAGCAGCCTTTTGTATATTTAAGACAGAGCAGCAGATGTTTATTGAGCGCTGTTCAACAGGTGCCTGTGGTTAGCTTTAAACTGAGGCAGTCTCCCAATTTAGGTTGTAAAGTCACACTGCCATACTTACAGCTGTACAATGATTAACATCTGTTCAGATTTCATAGTAGTACCGTCTGCTAACACATTTCATTATTTACAGTTATGCCTGATTCTAGATGTTTCCATATATGCTGGTGTCTGTGGTTAAATCATTCTCTCTTTATTCCCCTCATGTCCAGTCGGTTCTCCTTGCTCTTCTTATCTTTGTAACGTCTATTCCTTTCCCTCTGTGAGTAACTGTGTGGACGAGCCCTTCTTGCCTGGCCTGTGCTGCAGCTGTTGTGTGTCTTTTTGCCCCTGATTTTTTTTTTTTTTTTTATTCTTAAATATCCTTTTCCCCGGGGGTCAGAAAGCCATCTCTGTTAGTGGTATTCGACAAGACTTTTGAAAGAAGTGGAGTGGAGAGAAAAATATCAGTCCAAATTATAAGACTATCTTGAATGGGATGTTAAGCAGTGAGTTGCTTAATGTCACCAGGTCAGCACCAACGGTGAGGTAACCACATCAGACCAGAGGTTATCATCATACTAGGCTACGCCCTGTGTGGGGTTTACTGCCTCACTTTCAGCACCTTTCAAAACGTGTCTTGAAACTGAAACGGCTGTTTTTGATTCATGGCACTGTGTGCTTCAGACACTCTTATTGTTTTTCTGTCGGCATGTTCACCTAGAAGTACTGCTCGTTTGGACACGAAGACTTCCTCACACTGTAGACAAGCCCCCCTTTAGTTCACTGTTCCCATTTAACTTGTGTTGTTTCTGCAGCATGCTCTTGAAATTATAATTTTACCACCAAATATTAAATATAACCTGCAATGTACATGGTTGTTTCTGTGAAAGGAGTGAGTGATCAAGCTAATTGAGAAAAAAATACTAATTCCTGCTGCATAATTCTTATTAAAGAGCTTTTAATATAATTTGAAATGATAAAATGTTACATGCTCTGCTAACATGTTGTAAGAAGGACTCACCCTCCTGCATGGGGAGTGTGTCGTAGCAGCATGGGACATCTAAACTCATCTCTAATCACCTACTCCAGTGCAGTTCCCTTAACGCTGGCAGGACTCCTTCAGGGGTTCACTTGGTGTCTTGAAACAATTATGACTTTTGTCACTTAACTTTTTTTCTCCAGTTGAGTTTGGATTTAAACACTGCATGACCTGTTGCCCCACAGTGCTTTCAATTCACCACATTGCTTTCTAAGTTCTGTTTCTTCTCGGCTGCTCTTCAGAATCCAGATTGGAGGGTTGGTTGTCCATTCCTAACCGTGCTAATATCAAGCGATACGGATGGAAGAAGCAGGTATGTCGTGTTTTAGTTGGTGCTTCCTCTGCGCACCTGCATTGTGTTGAAGTCTGTTATGGTTTGTTGAGAATGCTATAAACCCCTTGGGGACAATATCCGTCTTCCTCTCATTGTCCTCTTTTATACTCGCAGTATGTGGTGGTGAGCAGCAAGAAGATTCTTTTCTACAATGATGAGCAGGATAAGGAACAGTCTAACCCCTCGATGGTACTAGATATCGAGTAAGTATTTGTTTCTGGCTTCGGCTCCTTTTAGTTATTCACAGAGGTGATGATGCAGGGGTTTGTTATTGATATCTAATTGTTAATTTTGTGCCTTCTTGTGCAGCAAACTGTTTCACGTGAGACCAGTCACACAGGGAGACGTGTACCGAGCTGAGACAGAAGAGATTCCAAGAATATTCCAGGTTGGAGGCTCCTGTCTGTGCTGGAGATTTCTCTAGATTTTCATATTTGCATTCTGCCTATATGTCTGATGTCAAAATGTCAAGTCATTCTGCGGAGCTCTGCCCAGCCTCAGAAATGCTTATTTTAGTGCAGATTATTTTTGACAGAGGCCCTCTCTGTCTCTGTATACAGATTCTCTATGCCAATGAGGGAGAGTGCAGGAAGGAGGCGGACATGGAAACAGTCCCTCAGGGCGACAAGACCAACTGTCTCCCACACAAAGGCCACGAGTTCATCCCCACGCTATATCACTTCCCTTCCAACTGTGAGGCCTGCGCCAAGCCTCTGTGGCACGTCTTCAAGCCGCCTCCGGCCCTGGAGTGTCGCCGCTGCCACGTCAAGTGCCACAAGGACCACCTCGACAAAAAGGAGGATGTTATTGCTCCTTGCAAAGGTAAAGTCCTGTCCTTGGCAGTCTAAGCTGTTACGATGAACAAACATTTTTATTTCTCAAGAAGACGAGCGGTCATTAAGTGTAAAGGTACTTAACAGAAATGTATGAGCATTGGTGATAGTCACAATGACTCTTGAGGAGTTTGAGTTAAAATGTGGCACACGGGCCACCTGCAGCTTTTGTAGCTTAAAGATCACCTGTGGAGTTTTCTTGTAAACAGACCAAAGTTCTGTTTACATTCAGTGTGAAGCGAGATTTATACTTCTGCCTAGAATCTACGCCGTACCCTACGCCGTAGCTTGACGTGCACCTCCCCAGAAATGTAACTACACATCGCGGCAACGCAGACCTCCTGTCTGTTTTTGTAGGCTGAAACCATTCCCCTCAATGGAAACAGAGTGATTATTTACTTTAATTTTACAGATAAGAAACAATAAATTGTGAAGACAACAAAGCCTCCACAGAATAGCATTTGAAGTCTTGTGTGTGATTTATCTCGGCTTCATATGAGCAGAGGAAATCTCCGCTAGTTGCTAGGCTAATTTATACAGTGTAACATGCCATAGGCTAGTTAGTTTGGAAAACATTTAGGTGAACCTCGTGAGTTGTAATGGAGCTGAATTTTGTAACGTTACCTTTGTTAAATGTTGCTGTTGTCCCTGGCTTCATATGAGTAAAGAAAAAAGTTAGCCACTAGGCTAATTTATACAATGTAAAATGCCGTAGGCTTGTGCTAATAACATTAGCATGTTGTATTTGTGGGGAAAATGTGTCCAGATAAAAACAAATGTTTGTCTGTAAATGCTGTGAGTTATAGTGAAGTTGATTTGTGTTCTTGTGTTTGAAATTGTTGCTATTAAGCCGTGTTTAAGTGTGTTTTGGGAGTGTTTTGAATCAACTAAACTTGACAACACTTCACACACACCCTGCTGTCGACTAGTGTTTTGGAGGTGTAACTGCAGAGTGACGCAGACACACCACCGCACAAGTATATGCCTACGTGTGTAAGCTACAACTCTACATAGAGCTGATGCACAATTATAAATCCCGCTTTACCCCCCAAAACGCATTAAGGGTATTCCTGAGGCCTAACAGACATGCTGAGTGCATTTCTGTCCTCACAAAACATTGCCTTTTTCAATATTTAAAGTGTGAAGTAGTATTTCATACCTTTGGCACAGCTTGTAATGTGTCATCTTTAGTTAAAGAGCATCTTTAGTAACTCCTTTTGCTGCTACCTAGTGTTCTTAATGCTGCATTAAACTCCTTATTTGGTTTATTTGCTTTTGAGTAGATGTATAATCAGTGAGTTCATACGGTAAATACAGTCACACGCTTGACTAACTTTACCATGAAACAAAGAGTTGATTAATCTTTTGTTGTGAACTGTCTCTGGGTCTGTTGATCAAGCAAAACAAGCTATTTCTATATGTGTCAGTGGTCAACCTCGTCATGCAGGCTAGTTCTGAGCTCATATTTAGAGCTGATTCTTGATCTGCATCACCTTGTCTCTTCCCCTGCAGTAAACTACGATGTGACCTCTGCCCGCGACATGCTCCTGCTGGCCCTGACCCAGGATGAGCAGAAGAAATGGATCGGCCACCTCGGAAAGAAGATTCCCAAGACCCCACCATCCACATTTTCAAGAGCCTCACCTCGTTCTATGTCCACTCGCTCTGGACCAAACCAGTCCTTCCGCAAGAACCCTAAAAGCAATACAGGAAAGCTGAGGTAACTTGACAATTTGTGACTGTCGTCTAGGCTTTTATAATGTAAATGCACGGCGTACAATAAGGCACTGTGCTATTGTTTTAGGCAGTGAGAGAGGGTGTGCTGCAGTCAGAAGTCTTATTATATCCCATCTGGTGGGCTGAGATGTGGTCAAGTCAGTCGCGTGACCTGCTGTTTGTCTCCTGTGTTGTAGCAGAGCGCAGTCCAGCCTCCAAGCAGCAGACACAACATCCAGCACTTGTTGACAGGAACTTCTTCAGAACAGAAAGTGTTGATGTTTTGTTTTTTGTTTTTTTTTTCCTAGACTTTTCTCTACAGCTTTAAACTTGTCTATTTATTAATTTTGTTACTGGGTGTTTCTAACACGAGACACTTCCTGGTTGGTTGCTTGGTTGCTTGGTTGGGCTCTTTTCAGTTGACACTTGGGATTTTTCTAATTGGCACTAATGTGTTCGGTTCAGTAACTAACTTATAGACTTAATATGCAACTCTTTGTTAGAGTGGTCCACATAAAAGATTTTTTACATTACCTGTCAAACATGATGCAAAGGAATTAACGGTGCTGCAGTGTCTGTAAACCAGCTCTTCTGTCATATGTTGACCTAGAATGGGTTACTAACCAAGGTAACGACTTTGCATCTCTCTTTTACTGGACATCTGTCTCTGTTTTTTTTTTGTTTCAGCTAACCATCTGAACGGTTTGGATTTTTTCTGGACTCTAAACTTTCCCTCCTTCCTCATCCTCAAAAACGGAGAAACCTGTATTACCTAGAAAAGTCGTTAAAAAAAAAAGATATAAAAAAAAATATCAATAAATATCCAGCGCTGGAAAATTGCAACACATGTCAGACTAAGGCATCATGGACATTACGAGGCGTGATACCCCCCTCCCTCTGCCACCCGTCTTCACTCCAGAGCTAACCCTCATTCAACTCATCAAACTTGCAGCTCTCCATTTCTACCAGAAGATGGCACACTCGTCTTGAACTAAAGATGGACTGTAGAGCGATAGAGGGACTTATGTCATGGAGACATTCTGTGTTTCATATTATATGACAGTTATGATGGAAACGGGACGGTAAAAAGGGGGTTTTGCTGGGACTCCTGCAAGTATGTGTTCAGTTTAAAGGTACTGTCATACAGGGATTGCAGATCTGCAGTGTGTGGTGGTTTCTCAGGGGTGGAAAACGAATATCTATTTTGTAATTTTTTTCCCCCACCTGACAGACACTCGAGCTAAATGCAAGCATACTTCTGTTTTCAGCTATAAACAAAAAAGAAAAAAAAAAGACTGATGCCTTCATCTAATATCTCTGGCCTTTTTGCCTTTATTTCTATCACTCTGCAAGTCACTTATCAGGTTTGGGACAGAGTATTGGGACATAAGTATTAGATGTTTTTTGAGTATTGAGTGAGGAGCATGCAAGATCATCATTTAAATCTATGCATTATTTTTATTATTATAATTATTTTTATTGCTCCAAGCCATAAGGAATATTCCATTGTAGTGGCATATAGGAGTCCTAAAACTTAATTGATTTTTTTCTGTTTATTTGGTACATTGTCTCTGTAATATTTTTTTTTTCCTTGTATTTTTTTTTTGTAATGTATTGCCTTACATTGATTCATAGATACATGGTTCAAAAGGAAAACATTAAGTTAACAAATGTAAAACTGCACTGTTTGAATTGTAAATTATTTGTAGAAGACTAAACAGGTGTAGCATTTGGCCCACCTAGTGCCTTAACGTTTGGATATTGATTTTACTGCCATATCTGTTTGTTTTTCTTTTCCTCCAAAACAAGACAAACTCTTAACTCTTCCATCATTTATTTTTTAAGAAATCGCCACACATTTTGTGGTTTTATTGGAACTTCTTTTCTCTGGTTTGAGTATATAAAGTATATATATTAGATTACCTCTTTATGGACGCATTGCAATAGAGTTAGCGTGTCAAAAAACAAAAGTCCCTGGACTCGGTTCATATCATAAGACAAATTCTTTTGGGATGGTGTACCTTAAGCGAGCCCACCTGTGTCAATGATTGTCCGTGTTAACAATTGCAAGTTGTTTCTCTAACATGGTAATGTCCCGTTAATGCAAACCCCCCCACAGTGTATATAATGAGAGAGACATAAGGATTATGGAATACCTCCGCAATCTTTTTATTTGTAACATTTTGTTCAGTTAAAAAAAGCACTGGAACTATGATCTACTCTTGTCTTGGAAAATTTGCATGGTTAATTGCATTGGAGTCCGCACTGATGGATATGTCAATAAACATATCTTTATCATTAATTGTACGCTAGTTTTTGCAGCAGATATCCATCCTGGGTTTCATATTTTTATCAGCAGCTTACAGCAGGGTGTCTACAGGTCTGTAAAATGTCTTAAAAATGTCTTATATCAATGTTACAACAATAAGGCCTTAAAAAGTTATCAAATAGTCTTAAATTTGAATTTGTGAGGTCTAAACTACCACGAACATTTAATCTAATTTCATTTATCCATTTTTTGTGCAAATATGTGAAGCCTTTTTTATGTAAAAGTCCACATTTCAGTTACAAATCTCTAAAAAAATTTAATACTGTCATTTTACTTCATACTTGAATTTACCTGTCGACAACATGTAGTTTGACTTAACTCACTCTAATAACCATATTCTGACAAAAGACCACATATACACTACTTGCCTGCAAAGCTTACCTGCAATGCTACAATAAGTGAAGCATGATTTGTCCAAAAATCGGTCCTAAATTTGGTTAAAAGTTGTCTTGAATGGGTCTTTAAAAGCATTCAATTTAACTGTCTGATACCTGTAGACACCCTGTACAGGGTTCATCTCAAAACTGGATTACCAACCAGGCATACTGTGTACATAGTGGTTTGTTTGTTTGTTTTTTAAAGATATTTTTAGGGCATTTTTCCCTTTAATTGATAGGATAGTGAAGTGTGAAAGGGGGAGAGACATGCAGCAAAGGGCCACAGGCTGGGGTCGAACCCGGGCCGCTGCAGCAACAGCCTTGTGCATGGGGCGCCTGCTCTATCCACTAAGCCACCAACGCCCCTAATAGTTTGTTTTAATTGCAGATTTTGTTTATGAATATGTAGTGCTTGTTAAGGGCCCTTAAGTGGGCTTGAAGCCACGTCTGAAGGTTGCATGTATCCAAAATCTAAAGTCTAGTTTTGAAAACATTATCTCAGTATAAGTATTACAGAAATAGTGTTCAGTAAAGTGTACATACTACAGACTGAATATTGGCCCTATGCAGCAGGTGGATCCACCCATGGTGCATGAGGAACAGGGATACACAGGTTGAAGTGGGGAAAAAAATCATCCCTTGAGTTTTGTGGACTGAGCAAACCTCAGCAACAACAGCCCTGCCTCTCATAAATACTGTAATCAATGTGCCTGGGAGATCTGGGTGTGTAGTCTGGGTGCAGTGCACGGATCTCCTGCGGCAGGATGGCTAGCAGATGTCAGCACGCATCGATAAGTTCTCAGCGTGTTGTTGCAGCGTCATTCTGTTTGAATGAAGTTCAGGCTGAGAACTAGCCAACTCTTCATTCGCGCCCCGGTGGATTGAAACAGGAAAAAACAAAGAGTTGAGGAAGTAAAAGGTTGCCAAACATGCCGGTGTTTACAGGTATGTTGCTACTTTAATACAGCGTGTTTATTGCAGTTGAAAAATAATGTAAAAACACAACGTCTTACACGTGTTGTAATGCAGTAACGTAAATTACATTTAGCATGCTAACTTAGCTAGCATTAGCATGGTATGCAGTTAGCATGCTAACGGTAGTAGGCAGCCTGTCAACAATATGTCGAGACACAAGAACATACAACAGTGTTACACTACTGTTTCCGAGTCACTGTTTTTCAGTGGAGTTTACAGAATGTGTTGAGTGAAGCCGACTACGCCAACTGGCATCTGACGCAAATCAAAAAAGCAGCCACTGCTGCTAATTGCTAGCTATGTTAACATAGCTAGGTTAGCTAGGTGACTGTTAAGTTAGGTGGTTTAACTAGTTATTTAAGGGCATTGTTTCGCAGCACAACCTAACCACTTTAGTTGTAGTCTTGTCACTTTAAGCCATATACATGTCTCATTTTTCTATCAGTATAAAATATATAGAATGACGCCTTTTTTGTAGCAGAGCTAGCCTTGCTAATCAAGCTAGCCATATCATGAGTGTACACTTTGTAAGCCCTTTACTGCAGTTGCGGCTTCTTAGAAACCAACAAAGCTTCCAGCACGAGAGTTTGCTGGTTTAACATGATAGTGGTGATATATGGTTTCCTGAAATGGCCAACCAATCGTTGTAGTTCATTAAATTGGCAGCTGTAATGTCTGCTTTCACTTTGTGTTTCTAGCTCAGTAGTCACTCAGGCTGTAACGCTAAGGCTAGCTCTGATTCCATGGAGCACTCTACTGTTGCTAGCAAGATGCTGTGTCATACATGGCAGCAGTTTGACAAAGTTATGGTGTTTGCCAACACTCACACTGAGAGGCTGACGTGTAGGTCTGTGCTGTCCCTCTGTTTTCTTTCAGTAAATGTGAAATGGGGCAAAGAGAAGTTTGATGCAGTGGAGCTGAACACTGAGGAACCACCCATGGTGTTCAAGGCTCAGCTCTTTGCACTGACAGGAGTTCAGCCAGACAGACAGAAGGTCATGGTGAAAGGAGGTACTCTCAAGGTACTGATATGAACAGCAGTCGCACATCTGGTCCTGGGGCGCATATGGGAAAATCCAGCAGGTTTTCTTTTGTCAGAGGATTATATATTAATATTCTGTATTTCTCTTGTTGTCAACAAACCCCATGAAAAGACCAAAACTTTGTCATTATTCAGAAGAGCACTAAATGTGTGTCAATCCACAGCTGTAAATAGTACCCAGCAAATGTACTACTTACTCCTGTTTGGGTAGTGTTTCTTAAAAACTACAATGCCCAGCTGTGAGAGGAGTTTGCTGAGCTGTTTATTTTCTAATTTTATTTTACATTAAACTATGTGACAGTTGGGTTTGGGGCTGATGCCACAGCCAGGGTAGGGAATTCATAAAGTATTGAGAGGCATATTTACAAATTGTTGGTTATGTTCTTTTTTAACTGTTTATTTAAAGTAGGGCTGCAACGATTAGTCGACTAATCGATGACTAATCGACTATTAAAATAATCACAGACTATTTTAGTAGTCGACTAATCGGTTTTCATAGAAAAGTACTATAAAAGTACCCCAAAATACTCTTATTGCAGCTTCTTATGTTCAAATATTGGCAGCTTTACACACTCTCCCATGACGGTGAACTAAAACCCTTTGTCGTGTGTACGAAACAAGACATTAGATGACATAATTTTGGGGTTTGGGAGAGACAGACCGACATTTTTCAACATTTTAACACATTTTTCAATAAAATGATTAGTCGACTAATCGAAGAAATAATCGACAGATTAGTCGACAAAGAAAATAATCGTTAGTTGCGGCCCTAATTTAAAGTATTTTTTAGATGTTTAGTCAAAACAGAAACACCATAGAGAACACTGTGTGGTGGCACAACGGTTGACTATTCATGAGTCCACGTGTGAAATGCCCTTTCATCCTGCACAGACATTCACGGTGAAGCTGCGTCCATGTCGTCTGAAATAAAGACAGCACATTTCTCCCATTTTCTGAGGGATATTGCTCGTCTAGACCTCAGAGAAAAAGTCATCTTTTCCATTATAAAGATCTCCTTGATTATGTCCATCCATTGTTTAAAGCTTAGAGGCTCAGATTTGTACCAGTTCTTTGCAGTCGCTTTCTTGCTGGCAGTGAAAAGTATTTTACACAGATACCAATCTTATTTATTAATCAGTTTTTCCCTTATTGCACTGAAATACAGGACCTTGACATGTCAGAATCTTCTTTTATAATTGAACATATTTTTCTCCTGGTTAGGTTCTTTTTAATGTGATTTTTTTTTTGACAGTAAGAGAATAACAGCAGCCTTATCCTTAAACAATTTTTAGGAACCTATCTAATGTCTTATCTTTATTCCAGGATGATGAATGGGGCGACATTAAACTGAAAAATGTGAGTATTTAAGATGTGTTTCGAAGCATTTTGTTTGTTTCGTTCGTAGAGCTTTACTGCATATGCATTCTAACAAATAAGTGAGTGAATTTCTTTTGTAGGGAATGACTCTGCTGATGATGGGCTCAGCAGAAGCCCTGCCTGAGGAGCCTGCTGTCCGGCCCATGTTTGTGGAGGACATGACTGAGGAGCAGCTGGCCTCAGCGGTGAGTAAGCCTGAAAATTACCACTGCGCCTAGATCAAATATGGCGATTGCTGTTTTCTGCACAGACTTGGCCAGTTAAACATGTTTTCCTCGCTGTGATGTTTACCAAGTGGAGAACATAATAAACTGAATGTACTGTACGTGCCCCTTTCGGGAGATCAGCTTTTTAGAATAAGAAGCTTCATCTGGTCAGCGTTTGTGTTGATCTGACAGAAGTGTGCTTTAACATATTAAGCTGCAGTCAGCAAAGTGTTTTGTTGTTGTCATGCATTTATCGCAGTTATAAAAAATAAGGAGGAGAGGAGGAATTGTGCAGTGGACACTAAATGTATATCAACTACAAACTGCTGTGTCACTTGATACTGCGCTGCTGTTTGGTCTGCAGTCTCATTTCACTTAAGAAGGGAAAGAAAGTAGCTGATGTGACTTTTTGTGATGATGCCAACTCTTCTTTTAAATTCACACAAATGCCTTTATTTCATACACTTAAAGTACTCAGCACTAATGGAAACTCCAGGATACTGTAATAAAGCCTGTAAATTAAAGATACTGTGAAGGCTTTTCCTAAAACAACGTCTATGTTAAGTATAGACATGTACAAAATGAATCTCTCTCTGTCACCACTTACGACCCAATAGAAGTGAGTAATAGTGTATTTTTCTGCAGAGACTCTGCCTGTATTTCTTGTATCCCCACAGAGCGTAGGCGAGGTCGCAGCTTTATAAAAAGGTGTTGACTAGGTGCTAGACTATAAGAAGCAAGCACCTGAGATTCACAGCAACGAAAAATGCAAAGTGAAACAGCAAGGTGAAATGCCAAACAAGAGTGAATCTGGGGTTGGCTTTTACTTTAACTTTCACTGGCAAGTGTGCATTGTATACCTTTTTAAAGATGAATTTCAAACTTGTCCTTTACATTAAAACATAAAATGTGGGAAAAAATAAAGTTTTGCACATAATTTCCACACAGCTGTGGTTAGGCACAAACATCCATGAACATTTAAACTAGATTTTACCT